TTCTCCCCTTCCCAACTCCCCCCCACTAGGGGGCTCTGGGCGGGTTACCAACACATTAAAACTATAAATATATATAAAATTAAAACAATACTAAAAAAGGAAAAATCCAAGAAGATGGAAAATCGGGCCGGGGACAGCCAGCCACTATGGGGCTAGCCATCTCCCTGCTTGAGATATTTCCTCCCCACCCCAGGCCAAGTGACAGAGCCAGGTCTTCAAGGTCCTTTGGAAGGTCAGGAGTGAGGGGGCCAATTGCACCCCTGGGGGCAGAATGTTCCAAAGAGTTCCATTAGTGCAGTTAAATAGTTAAATCTTCTCTGAGCTTTTCTAAACACTGATTTTCTTCCAGGCATATTAGATAGGTATTATGTATCTATTGAGACACTATTGACCAAATAAAACTCATTTTTCCTGAACGAGTATGGTTTTCTATTAACAGACAGTTCATAAGAAAAAAGTAGCTGTTTTGGTTGCACAGATATTTACTAGATGCTTCTTAAGATTACTATAAGACTGTCAAGTAGTCCTTTCCTCAATCTCCTATGTTGCCTTAAACTGCTCACCAATGATTTTTTTTTTGCCATCTCCCCTATTTCATTCCTTTCCCATTAATGCAAGATGTGCACATATTATATAATCATTTTAAAAAAGATGTTATTGCCTTCAGTAGGACAGCCTTATTTCTCGCTAGTGCATAGGATAATTCATGTCTTGTCTATAAGAAATGGTGGATGACTAGAAAAACTCTGCTACTGTCCTTATTATACTTTATTTTGTGACTGCACTGCAGTTTTCTTATAGCAAATCTGTAGATATAATAGCAGTAGTTAAGGCTTGAAATGTGTTTTGCTTTTATATAGCTCTTAAAAAATGAACATCTCTAAGGTTTGAAAAAAAGTTACATATTTGCAAAAGACTATGAAAAGACAGATTACATCAGTTCTTTAAGGAATCATCAGAGGTACTTGTGTATATATGATCTATGCCTATACACAGCCTCAGAATGTTATATTTTAAGGGAGAAGCTGCCATTCCTCATGTATACCACATATACTATAGCCAAACCAATATGATCCAGTGATTAGTTTAGCTGGCCATGGGAATGTGGTGGATATAGTGTACCTTAACTTCAGCAAAGCATTCAGTAAAGATTCCAATGATATACTAGTAGAGAAGAGGACAAAATGTGGGCTGGACTATGCTACCATTACATGAATACAAAGCGGATTGAACAATCATATCCAACAAGTATATGTCAGTGGCTCAACATCAAGTTTGGAGTGTTGATTGATACACCACAGAGTTCTAGTCTAAGCCTTGTGCTGTTCAGTAGATTTATAGGTGACTTATATAACGGAATAAAAATATGATTATAAAATCTCTAGTCAATACAAAAGTAGCAGGGATGGCAAACACCTCAGGAGCCAATATCAAGATTCAGGAAGACCTTGACAAGCTAGAACAATGGACAGAAACTATCAAGATAAATTTCAGTGGAGACAAATGAAAAGTCATATATAAATCAAATGTATGAGAGTAGGAGGGGGAGACCATACTGCAGAGCAGTACTTGCACAAATAATCAGGTGTGTTAGTGAATCAAAAACTGAACGTGAGCCAACACCATGATTCAGCTGCGAAAAAAGCAAATGCAATCCTATGCTGCATATACAAAAGTAGAGTATAAGATCAGAGAAGCAGTTATTCCTCTCTATTCTGTGTTGGTCACACCACACTTAGAAAATTGCCTTCAGTTTTTGGCATCATAGTTTAAGAAGGAAATTGGCAAACTGGAACATGTCCAGAAGACAGCAAGCAAGATGATAAGAGACTTGGGAAAAAAATTATGAGATGGGTGGAGGCACTGGATACGTTTAACCTGGAGAAGAAAACTGTGGGGAGATACAATAGCAGCCTTCAGAAATCTGAAGGGTTGTCATGTAGAAGACAGAATAGAATTGTTCAGAGCTGTTCCAGAAGGCAAGAAATCATGGGTTTAAATTAACAGGAATTAGATTTCACTTGGACATCAGGAAACATTTCTTAATGTTATGAGTTCTTCAACCATAGATTGCCTTGGGAAATGGTGGATTCTCCTTCTAAAGTGGTATTTAAACAAAGGCTGAATGAAGTTCTGTCAGGGATGCTGTAGTAGGGAATTCCTGCATTGGGCAGGTGGTTGAACTACAGTGGTGCTTAAAAGTTTGTGAACCCTTTTGAATTTTCAATACAGGCAGTCCCCAGGTTAAGAACACCCGGTTTACAGACAACCCATAGTTAAGAATGGAGCCTACTGTAGCAAGTTAATAACATGATTCATGTTAATTACACAATACTACTTATACAGTATTATACAATAATACTGTTCCGGCTTACATACAAATTTGACTTAAGGACAGACCTTGGGAACAGAACTCGTTCTTAAACTGGGGACTACCTGTATTTCTGCATAAATAAATATGACCAAAAACGTGATCTGTTCTCCACAAAAGTCCTAAAACTAGATAAAGAAGACCCATTTAAACAAGTAAGTAAAAAACATTATACTTATTCATTATTTATTGAGGAGAATGACCCAAAGCTACGTTTTTGTGTGTGGCAAAATTATGTGAACTTTTGCTTTCAATAACCAGTGTGGCCCCCTTCGGCAGCAATAACTGCAACTAAATGTTTCCGATAACTGTTGACCAGTCCTGCGCATCGGCTTGGAGGAATTTTAACCTATTCCTCCTTACAGAACAACTGCAACACAGGGCTGTTGGTAGGCTTCCTCGCATGAACTGCATACTTCAGGTCCTTCCACAACATTTCTACAGGACTAAGGTCAGGACATTGACTTGGCATTCCAAACCATTAACTTTCTTCTATTTAACCATTCTTTAGTCATATAACTTGTGCGTTTTGGGTCATTGTCTTGCTGCATGACCCACTTTCTCTTGAGCTTCAGTTCACAGATAGATGCCCTGATATTTTCCTGTAGAATTTGCTGGTAGAATTCAGAATTCATAGTTCCATCAATGATGGCAAGCCATTCTGATCCAGAGACAGCAAAGCAGGCCCAAACCACGATACTGCCATCACTGTTTCACAGATGGGATAAGGTTCCTATGCTGGAATGCAGTATTTGCCTTTCGACAAACATAATGCTTTTCATTCAAGCCCAAAAGTTATATTTTGGTCTCATCCATCCACAGAACATTCTTCCAATAGCCTTCTGTCTTATCCACGTGGTCTTCTGCAACCTGCAGAGGGGCAGCAATGTTCTTTTTGGAGGGTAGTGGCTTTCTCCTTGCAACCCTGCCATGCACACCATTGTTGTTCGGTGTTCTCCTGATGGTGGTCTCATGAACACTGACACTGACCAATGCAAGAGAGGCCTTGAGTTCCTTAGATGTTACCCTAGGCTTCTTTGAGACCTCCTGGTACATTACATCCCTTGCTCTTGGTGTGATCTTGATTGGTCGACCCTCCTGGGGAGGGTAACAATGGTATTGAATTGCCTCCCTTTCTACACAATCTGTCTGACAGTGGATTGGTGGAGTCCAAACTCTTTGGAAATCATTTTGTAACCTTTTCTGGCCTGGTTTCCAGAAGTCCTCAGAAATCTCCTTTGTTTGAGCCATGATGCACTTCCACATACCTGTGTTGTGAAGATCAGAGTGATGGTGAATACCTAGAATTCTGTTCTATAAATAAGGCAGGACCTCCCACACTCACATATCAACCCATTGATTGAAATACCTGACTCTAATTTCCCCTTCAAATGAGCTAATAATCCTAGAGGCTCACATATTTTTGCCACACACAAATATGTAGCTTTGGATCATTTTCCTCAATAAATCAATGAGCAACTATAACGTTTTTGATTGATTTGTTTAACTGAGTTCTCTTTATCTAGTTTTAGGTCTTGAGTGGAGAACATATCATGTTTTAGATCATATTTATGCAGAAATATTGAAAATTCAAGAGCTCACAAACTTTTAAGCACCACTGTACATTATCTCCTTTATTCCTTCCAATATTATAATCTATGATTCTAGGAAGCACTAGTATTTATTCTCCTCAGTTTGTTTATCACTATAGTGGATAGAAACATGTGAAAATACCAACAGAACAGAACCTGAGAAAGGAGGAAGCTAGTTGAGTGAATACACAAATGACCACTTGAAGTATTAAAGCTACATATATGCAACTTACCTTTTCCCTTGTTCTCTGTGCATCACTGATATGGATGAATAACAAGCTTATTTGTGGAGGACAGATATAAATTAAAGCAGAGGAGACAAGACAGCATATCT